GGGGGGGGGGGGGGGGGGGGGGGGGTGCAAAAGAGTCATTATGAATGCTGCAAACTCGCAACTTCCTTGCATTTTCCCTACCTCACCCAAAAAACAAGGTCCAGACATTCAACCAGAGAATCGCCAAGGAAATCACTGAAGGACCCGAGGCAGCTGTTTATAAAGCATTTACACCACAGGCACTGCATGGTGCCCCCTGCAGGCCATACATAGCATAACACCTACACACCAAATTCTTATACTCAACTGAACATCCAGCCCCGGATTCTCCGGCTGAAGCGGTAAGATAAAACAAGTTCATGGTCCCAGAGAACCAGTGATGCAAGTAACTTTCCTGTGGTTTGCTGGTCAAACCACAGCAGGTGCCACTTGGTTCTCATCTGAATCCTGGGCTTCCTGTGCTCAACACTGCAGGTGACGGAGCCTGACGGAGCCGCACAGGCTAGCAAATGATCATCCTCCAAGTTCCCCTGACTTGGGGGGGCTGGCGTGAGTTGGGGGGAGGATTGGGGTTGGAAAAAACCTTCTGTCGGGCCTCTCAGAGGACGTAGAGAGGACGCCGGTGCTGTTCCGGGTGCGATTACAGCCAGAGTAATTTCTCATTTGCAGAAAAGTCAACAGACGTGGGTAATGAGATTAGGTCGAGACGGAGATGTGGACCAGATGACATTTCGGCTCGGTCATGGTACAGTCACACGATAGCCGGCCTCTCGCTTATCGGCCTCGCGCCTGGGATCTGCCTGACATGTATGAAACCGTGGTCCCCCCCCCCCCCCACATCAGAGCGGCTAATCCAAACAGGCCCGTTCCTTTCCAATTTTCCACTCTCACTGTCCTCGAACTCCAACGGAGGGGCCCACCATCATCTCAAGGTGAGCGTGAGGTGAGTCTGCAGGATTGTGGACTTCTGTTGCCCACTAAAACAATCCCTAGGTGAAGTAAGTCTAGAAGTGGATTGAAGGAGAATTCTACACAGCCTAAAAAAATCCATGCTTAAAAAACTGACAGGACAGAGGACCACGCCGACGTCCTTCTTTTAAAGCAGGATGCCGGTGGGCCAATGACACACAAACTCTCCTCCTGTGGGCCACCCTTCAAGATGCTCTTCTTCTGATGGCCCAGCCAGTGTAGATGGGCAAACTCAGGGAATGTGTTCGGTTGGCCACCTGAAATTTGCACCTGGTTACCATTAGCAGCCACGGTCCTGCACTTTGTACCCCCGATTGTCCGCTCCTCGTCTCTCTTTCAGACACCTGCGGGCTTCTCTTTCCGCCACGATGTCCGCCCCTGCATACATTAACCCACTGTGGCGTCCAGCCTGTCTGTCGCAGCCTGGAGCCGCGCAGTAACCCTGAATGCTGACGCAATGTCGTAAGGCAAGCTGCACTGCTGCCTGGGCCGCGGAGCGTATCAGTGACCAAGGCAGCTAACGTTAAAAACCTTAGGAGCCAAAAGGCAGGTCAACCCTCCCCGCAACCCCCCCCCTCCCCGTCCCCAATAGCTACAGACAAATGAACAAGAGCGACGGGACAAACATGATTTGCCCAGAGGGGGTGGCAGCAAGGGACGGAACTCCCGACCAGGTGCCCACAGAATGGCACTCTTGGCACAACGTCCTCCACTGCAGACCTCTGGCACCAGCTCCCCCCCCTCCCTTTTATCTTGTGTTTTTTTCTGCCTTTGTGACTTTAAAAAAGCCAGATCACATATTTTCATACCCCGGGTCAGCCGTGGGAAACACCATCCCTCATTGTTCTGGTCAAACCGTTTAAAATCGGGATCGACGGACGGCGGCGCTTGTGTGCAGGGTCGGGTGGGGTGTGGACTCCAGAACGCCGTTGGCTCAGGCCTCCGCAGGGGACCTGCTGTTGTACCCTTGAGCAAGGTAATTGAATCGCTTGAGTAATATATCCAGCTGTATAAATGGGCGTAATTTGTAAGTCACTTTGGGTAAAGCTCTCAGTTAATGTGTTTGGCTGTGCTGGATACAAACTTTGCGAAAATAGCATTCCGTTACCATGTCAGTTAAGGTAAATGACCTGCACTCCGTTGGGGGGGAGGGGGGTCTTTTGGAAGCCAGAAAAAAGCAGATGGTGTAAGAGTAAAGAATTGTGGGTGGGTGTCTGAGCCAGCTGTTGCACATACAGGAAAAATTGCCTATCAGTTTTACTTTAAAAATGGCGCTTTCTTCTCAGTCACAGAATCTTTATTGGGGGGGTGGGGCGATTCACGTAGTTTGGCAGCGAGTGAAGATCAGCCTCATCACGCAGGAAGCCCCCATCATGCATGTAATGGCTGACCCTGTCGGCGAGTGAGGGAGTGTGCGTGTGCTAGCGGAATGCGGGGGGGGCCGTGGGGGGGGGGGGTGTTAGTCTGTCCATCTAAACGCGGATGAATGGCGACGGCTGCTGATATGGGCTCTGTTGTTTTGCCAAGACCATCGAGGAGAGACAGGCCCCTCTGTCTGGCTCAGAATGGAGACCCGGCACGTTTAAATCTTGGGCCACAGCATTGCCCATGACAGAGGGGCAATGGCGGTTGCCAGGCAACGAAGCGCCACATAATTGGACGGTAGCACGGGGCTGTGACGTCGTTGGATCCTCCGCCACACGAAGTAGGAAGGACGGCAGGACTCGATGGCGCCTCCTAGCCACCCCCCCGAGGTAATGCCCACCCCCCCGAGCATTGAAAAGCTGCAGGAGCCAGATACACACTCTGTATATGAAGACATACATCACGAGGCCGGCGCCCGCCTCACTGCCCCAGTATATAAAGGCCCCTTTATTAGTTCCAGAGCCTCAGTTCTTGGCAGATTGACACCAAGCTTCAACTCGGGATCATATGAGGAGCTGCCCACGGCCAACCCCAGAGCACGGGGGCTTGGCACCGCCCAGTGGAAAAGCAGGACCCGCCCACTGGAAAGGCAGGGCCCACCCAGCCACCCGCACCCCTGCTCTGTGTGTGTGTGTGTGTGTGTGTCCCACTTACCTGTTTTGTCTCTGAGTGCATGGGGGGGATGTGGGAGGCGGAGCAGGCATTACTGTGGGCGGGGCTTTGTATGCTCATCACGCTGGAGCCCATGCTCATCTGGCTGTCCATCTGCAGGGCCAAGCAGCACAATCACTGACACTCACCAGTTCCTGATGACATTAACTCCTGTTTCACTGCATTAAAGGGCAACTTTACCTTATATGTCGCCTCCTTGCATATATACCTGAAACTATGAATGTATGAGATCTGCTGATGTGTCTAAGTGTGTGTAACCAGCTACAGACTGACATCCTATCCAAGATCTCCTGTGTCCCCTGTGTCTGTCCTTAGCTACTTAGAATAAGCTACAGCCCCCTGTCCTCAATGTCGCTGGAAGATGGATGGGCGGACAGATGGACGGACGGATGGATGGACGGATGGATATATTTCATACCCTGAATTAACAAAGTTCAGTCTTGGATATCAGTCTTATATAATTTGGTTTATAGTGTCATTTATGTATACACAGCATTGCCATCACACTAAAAGAAGCCACGAGGGATACTTACGGGCATGAGCACCGCGGAGGAACCGGGCATGCTGGGATCGGGCAGCGGGCCGGCCATGGAGGCAGCCAGCGGTTGGCGTTGTCTGTTCCTGAGGTGGAGCAGGGAAGAGAGCGAGCCGGGAACGGGCCTGGAGTGGGGAGAGACGCCGAGACGCGCCGTCACTTTAAGAGGACGAGCGCGCGGGTATCGATGTCGCGAAACACGACACACGTTTAGCAATCAGAGCTAACAGACAGAAAAAAATACCTGGGAAGGAAATACAACAGAAAAGCTATTGTTAAAAATTACCATCAAAGTGTAATACTGAACTTGAGAAGGATGCTTTTTAAATACTCTGAGCTTTAAATGCACGCAAATATAATTACATTCCAGGGAGCAAAAGAACACTGACCATTGCTAAGATGTGAGTCAATGTGCGTTTATTCGATATTTAATTATATTGATACAATATGCTGTATCACTTCCCAATACCAGCTACAGTAAGTCTAAAACCATTTTAATAAACACTTGGCTTACAGAATACCTGTCATCTTTGTCATTGTAGGAGTGGGAGAGTGCAGAAGATGCACCTTTCCTTAAGTGCATGACAGCAAAATGGCGTCTTTTTCTAAAAAACCACTTGAAAGTCCTACACTGAGCATCCAAAGGTCTGCAGAGCAGCCGCGCAGGGCCCTTGACACGTTATCGCGATGTTTCACATGCTGCTTGCGGACATGCATGCATGAGCGGCTGCATTGTGCATCTATGATCCATCCCTGGTTGAAGCCTATGAACCTTCCGTAACCCTGAGAGATGAAACTCCGAAACGTATAACATAACCGGCTCAAATCGCGCTGATGAAACAGGTCATCTGATGTCACACGTCACCTACACCCCAACCTGTCTGACGAGTCGCTGCGCTAGGAAGGACAGATCAAACACACTGTTTCGGCAATAATTAACCCACTGTCACTCCAGCACGAGTCAGCAGAGCACACTGCAGCAGTAAATGCATTACACACTGCCCACTGTACAGAACTGAAAGCAGGGTCTCTCGGTGGGGACTACAGTAAGAAGCGCACATCTGATTTACAGTGATCCCCATCTGAAGGGACACACCAGTATCTCCAGTGTGGAGATATCGCCTCAGGACAAAAGCCAGTTTCACCAGCTCATGATGGAAGCAACCACTTATGCAAATAGGGTACAAAGATTTATATCAACATAACATATAGTGCAGTTTTTAAAGTGTGAGCATCTTTGATGTGTGTGGGGGGGGGGTTATGTGTCGTACTACAGACTGAGTGCATGTGCTTGAGAATGTGAGAGCGATGCCTATAACCTGTGTCTCAGGGTTCGTACCCGTTACATCTCTGTTTTTAAAGGAAGCATCTCAACTCTGTTCTTCGTATCTTCATGTCAAGCAGCTTTTGCTGGCAGCTGCCTCTCAGTGCATCACAGACCTAACAGAACCAAAGGGTAAAAGAACCTCTTTCTCGAATGTCTAGGCCGGTTCCGAGCCCTACAGGAACTCCCCAGCTCCCATTCCGGCAACCTGGGTATTCAATGCTCCTGAAGTTCATCTCACATCCACACATGACTCAGAGGGCAGGGAAGGCTGGTGGAACCTGACGGAGGACCTCGATTAAGGAACTACAGCTATAGAATAAAGATTAACATCTTTCAAGAGAAAAAGAGAGATTAAACGGGATTAGGAACAATTAAAAGGGCAACAGGGTTAATTAGCTAATGTCACGTTAATAAGCAGCGATTGCAGTGAAGTGGATTGTGAAGCAAAGAGTGCAGCAGGAGAAAGGGATGAAGTGGAGATGGAGTGCTTTAAGAGAGGGGGATGTGAGAGAATGGAGGATAAGGGGAGGATAAATTGAGGAACAGAAAACAGGACAAAGGAGGAATGAAGACGGGAGAGGAGAACGGAGAGAAAGAGAGAGTGGCAAGACCTCTGAGTCACATCCTTCCCCTCTCACAGCCCTCCAAAGATGATGTAATGCTCTTGGCCTCGTCCACGACACCCCCC